TTCAGAAAATTGCAGACTAAGAATGCTCAGATCAAAGACTGTGTCCCTATGATTAAATAATCTATACTTATCCAAAAAGTGCTTAAAACAGTAGAACTAACAGTCATATGACAAACCAATGACCAGATCAGTAACCAATTACAGTGAAGAAGACTTGAGCTGACATTGATTTTTACTCAGATACAAGGTATAAATGTTCATGCATCCTTCTGTTCAGGGAGTCTCTCTTGGTTGTTGTGACCATGGGCTCTCAGCCGTGAATAAAACTTTCATTCCTGCAAAGAGCAACTTGGGAGTGGTGTCTGGTATGTGCTGCGCAGCTGAGGAATAGAAATAAAGATTCTATGCTCAAAAGACCGCCGCAAAGACAGTGATTGTGTTGGAAGACTATAGAGCCGTCCTTGGGCTGAGTTAACAGCGTACAGCTGAGAAGGGCGGTGAGAGTGTATAGATGCTAAAGACCTGTGTGCTCATGTGTGATTGAGGTAGTGATTTCTCTAGTAGATAGCTTCTTGACAGGAAGCCGTCACCATACTTCAGGGAAGTATTGGATTATATTGTAAGTATTCGGGGAATTCAGGGAATTAGCCCGAGATACTGTAGTTATTATATTAACAACTGGAGTTGTCTGTGGTGAAGTCAGATTAATATTGGGAATTTCCACGACAATATCTTTGGATAACATATTTAATTAAAAAATTAAATTCAACTGGATAAAAAAATTATGTAATATACTAAAAATATAATAAATGCATGTTTTTTTGCTTCATCCAAAACCAAAGAAGCTTTTTAAATGCAATTTAAAAAGCTCAACACACACAGATTGATTTCTCACTTTCACTGGACAGATTCTAGAGACCCATAAAAGCAGAAACATGTTTGTGTTGTAGCTGGAGCTGAATGTTGATGATGTCTTGCTGGGTTTGTCCCTATTTTACCCAGCATTTTTTAGAGTGTGTGGACAAGAAAGTATGAGAAACAATGAAATAAATTAATAAATAAATTAAAATAAGTGTAAAACTAAAATAAAAATACTAAAATAAAAATAAAACCACCGTGGATCATCCAGGTAACAACACAGTAGTAAGAATCAAGCGTGTAAACTTTTGAATGTGTTCATTTTTATAAGTTCCGCTATTATTTTCTCTTGTGGACTAAATGTAAACACATTTGATGTGAAATAGCTTATTCAGGTCAGTACTAAATGTATACATACAACGTATGTTTTTTTTTTATGGTAAATAATGAATTAACATGACTGCTACGAAACTATGCTACGAAAGAAGCCGCCGCAATTTTTTCCCCAAAATCTGAAAGACTGTAGTGAAACCTCTATGCTTCTAAGGTGACAGTAACTTTTTTCCCTTTTTAGCACATGATCTGAAACTATAATAGTGCATTAGCGCCATATGCTGTTTGCATAGACCACAAATTGCCTTTTTTTTCTCTTCCTCAGAGTCAGTCAACAAAGCTTCACTGGAATGGACAACAACAGAAATACAAAAATTTATATATGTTGAAAAAAATAAAAGAAAAAATGAAGTAAGCACATTGTTATATTTCTTTTCTTTTTTTTTGTCCTTTTCTTTTCTTTTTTTCATAAAAGCAGAAAGATGTTGTTGAGCTCAGTGATTGGCACTGGTGGGCATGTCTTATTAAACTGAAGTCCCCTGCTGCTCATCCTCTTAATTCAGCAGTGGTTTCTCTTCAGTTGATTCATTCACTGTGGAATATAAAAGAAAACAGAGAACACAAAAATTAAAAAGAAAGAAAGTAAGAAACAGTTCTGTTACATATACATCTACACATGGATGATGTTACAGCTCCACTCAAGAGTAGGGAATTCATGCTGAAAACAAGAGAACATGAAACTAAATATAATGAGAAAATAAAACAAAGATACAATTTTTACAATATAAATCTGCAGAAATCTTTCCTTGAAAACCAAAAAAAAATCACATGAATAATCACTATCAATGAATAAAGCATTTTCAGGTCTACTTTACTATAGGTCATGTGCGATATTTCTCATCTATGATATCAGTTATTGTTTTACAGATGTGCGAGCTGACTCTATTGAGTATGTCACTCAAACAAAAATGTGGGACTTTGAGAGCCCAAAAGCATTCATTGCATGATGATGCCTATTAGAATGCAGTTAATGACCCAATAATTAAAGGGGTCATATGATGCGATTTCAAGTTTTCCTTTCTCTTTGGAGTGTTACAAGCTGATTGTGCATAGATAAGATCCCTGAAGTTGCAAAGACTAAAGTCTCAAAACCAAAGAGATATTCTTTATAACAGTTAAGACTCTGCCACGCCCCCCTAAAACGGCTCGTTCTAACACGCCCCCACATATCTACCTCACTATGTGGAAATATTTGCATAATGCCACCTAAATGTGCACGCAACGAAAGAAGGCGTGGTTTCAGTAACCGCAGTTAGTGTTGAAGCAGCCATGTCAGGGAGACGCTGTGTGTTTCTAGGCGAAAGCAAAAGCACTTTATTTGGCCTTCCGAAAGTAGATGCATTTAGGAATCTTTAAGATTACTTACAACAGAACAGCAAAGCATTTTATGGACGACCGTTTCGTGAAACTAGGAGAGGAGGTAATTCTGACTTTACTATGACAATCTGGCGCTTCTGAATCAGCAACTGTAAGTATGTTTTGTTTTTAGTTTAAGTATTTGCTATTGACTGTTCAAATGC